GAGTGTCCCTAATATCGTGGTAATTTGGTACAAATCAAACCTGAAGAATGGGTGTCCCTAATATCATGGTAATTTGGTACAAATCAAACATGGAGAATGAGTGTCCCTAATATCGTGGTAATTTGGTACAAATCAAACATGGAGAACGAGTGTCCCTAATCTCGGGTCAATCTGCTTTGCATATTAGAGTGGAAACGAAAACTTAACTTCTGATCAGCAAGCTACCTTTATCAATCAGAGCTAAAAATTAATCAAGTAAGTTATGTTGTTAATTTAATAACAAAAGTTAAAAATTGGTAAAACACACATCTAGGACAAAAACTTTATTTACAATGTTTTGGGCAAAAGCCCTTTGTCAGGCAGTGTAAACTGTGTTACAAAGAAAAAAGGCTTAGACAGAATCATTGAAGGACTAGGATATAAAGAGATTGTAAATTATGTATGTACTGTGTGGAGCACGTTAACAAAAATATTATTAGAAGGAACACTGTTGAGGTGGTTCTATAAACAAGTAATAAAGTGATAGAAATTAAAAGGACACAGAAAAGTAATAAACATAAGTTCAAAAAATGATAAAGTAGTAACTGAATAATAATGATCAAGGAAATACGTGTAGATGGTGTCAAGTTAACAGGGGCGGCAAAGAGATAGAGACGGAAGCTGTAATCACTTAAAAGAAAAACGTTCATTAATTCCGTGTGGTGCAAGAGAATTTAGTTTAAATATAAGTTTATGCTCTAGGCTTTCGCAATGATACTTGTTGTGGGGGTCATGTAATAAAACGAGTACACTCATGTCGTCAATTCCGTTGTGATCTGGGGAGTTGAAGTGTTTAGGAACTGGGTGGTTGAGTGTGCTGTTGTGTACAAGTTGGAGATGTTCACTGAATCTGTCACCTAAGTTGTGTATAGTTTCTCCAATGTAGAGTTGTTTACATCTAGTACAGCGAATACAATAAATAATGCACTCCGATGTATAGGTGAAAGGTAAAGGTAGAACTGGAGAGAGTCGATAAGTTGGTCATATAACTGAATGCAAGACAAATAAATCATCCAAACGGACGAGTTCCGTTAATTTGTGCACGTAAAGATGAATTAGTCTGTAATTCCTCCTATGTTTGAAAGAAATTAAGGGTGGGATGGTAAAAATGTTGTGAGATGTGTTGTCTCTTGTTAGTAAGGTAAAGTTGTGTTGGAGAATTCTGTTAATCTGTCTGGTTAAAGGATGACATGTAAAGACTAACTAGGTTCATGAACTGATTCATCAGATGGGCTCTCTCACTGTTATTCATATTTTTGGTTGTCAACCAAATAATATCTCATGAGGTTTGGTCAACTTAGATTCAGGTTAGTCCTAAATCTATATACTAAGCTCACAATGCAAAATGGTCCTCATAATGAAAAATATATAATAAATAAAGTAAAAATATATATATATGCACACACACAAATATTTTGACTGAAATTTTTAATTAAACTGTAGTTAACTCTTCCTGCAATGTTTGTAGGTAACCCAGTACCAAGTTCAATTATAGATACACAATAAAAAAGACATTATTGATTTTAAACTTAAAACAAGAAATTTTACGTGGAATACCATTTCTTCATGCTGGTTGCAAATTTCAAAATCACATGTAGTTAATATTCCACTTTTCAAAGCTAAAACAAAGGTTACATATTGTGTCCCACCTATGTTCGTACGTCAATTAAAAAAATTAAAAGAAAGAATGGACTAGAGATTCACTTGCTCTGAAGTTTCTAACAGTGTTGTGTGGGATGTGTTACCAAGTAAAAGAATGGACTAGAGATTCACTTGCTCTGAAGTTTCTAACAGTGTTGTGTGGGATGTGTTACCAAGTAAAAGAATGGACTAGAGATTCACTTACTCTGAAGTTTCTAACAGTATTGTGTGGGATGTGTTACCAAGTTTGAAAGTATAGACACTTTAGTTTTAAGGAAACAATAAGAAATTCACAGGATCATTAATTTCAGTGACATAATTTACAACATACTAAAATGTGCTACATTTGAGGTAAGTATTCCTTACAGGCTTCCATAAGTAAAATGAAATGTGATTAACAGGTTCCATCCAAGCTTGAAGGTTAAAATAGATGTACACATATTATTGTATAAAGAAGTTTTACGGTTTACTACTGGTTTGGGTCAGATTACACGTATATTTCTTCCTTAACTTTAAATGTGTAATTGTATCATACAATACTTGTCAAGGCAACAGTCTAGTTAACTTGTACCACTTGATAAGACAAAACATAGTTAACTTATGTCAAATTATACTAGGTGAAACAACAATATAATTAATTTGGTGACACAAATTTCTAAATGAACTAGTACCATTGAACACTTGGGTGTCACAGTAACTTATACAAGACATGTTAAGGCACTTTGTAATTGTCTGATTTCATATGAGAATTTTCATAATAATGAAGACTATACTAAGGTCTTTTTCTTACATATTTTGGTTTTACATTAGGACTATACCTGTGTTCCTTATTAGAGATACCCATGCTCTCCAGGGTAGTATCCCGTATCCTCACCAGTGATCGTCCTGTTCCAAACATAATATAGTTATCAATGAAATCATATAATTTTGTTTATGCATAATTTTATGCATAAGGTATGTACAAAATAATAGCATGATAATTTTACATGTGAATAAAATAATTTCAGTTGTTTATAAAGTGTAAATAATTTTATGCTCGTTTCATCATAAGAATAACAGTTCTTTAATTTTAAAAACATACATTATTCTACTATTTTACTACAAGGAAAATATTATCAGGTAATTATGAATTAAAATTAATATTTTTACCATAAAAGTACAGCATCCAATGAACAAGTGATAACACATTAAATTATACTATTGTATATAATGTCATACCTATGATGTCATGCTCACGGAACTAGTGATAACACATTAAATTATACTATTGTATATAATGTCATGCTCATGGAACAAGTGATAACACATTAAATTATACTATTGTAAGTGATGTCATACCTATGATGTCATGCTCATGGAACAAGTGATAACACATTAAACTATACTTTTGTTAGTGATGCCATACCTGTAATGTCATGCTCACTTATCACCTGTTCCTTGAATGTCATACCTGTAATG